TAATGTGTTGTTCTTTATATGTTTAGTTTATCCTAGATTAAATAAAAATTTGTTTTATTTTATTTTTTGCACAATATTTTAATTATTTTAATTTATTATTTTCAATTAAATTAAATTTATAATTTATAATTCAAATTTTTCATTTAATATATAATTTTAAATTAACAACACTAAAAAAATAATTAATAAATGTTCAAAAACTATTTTACCCTTTTCTAATTGTTTACTAAGTAATAGCATGGGGTAAAGTGGACATTTCAGAGCCCAATCCCATGGGATACCAATCTCATGCAAATAATCTCACCCCCCCTTGGGATAGGATAGTCCCACAAATATGGGACTAATAGTCCGGGGGAACTATTAGTCCGAAGCAAAAAAATTGAAACAAACAATGAACTATTAGTTCGGTGGGACTAATAGTCCAATCCCACACCCTAATTCTTCAAAACAAACACACCCTATTAGTAACATTACGTGTCGAAATCAAACCAAATCAAGTCTTAAGTCTCATTAAATGCAGTCGGCTGCATGAATCATTCTTCTTCCTTCGACTCCATCCAAGGCTATTTTGTTATTCGAATTAAGAAGATCCATATCCTTATTTACTATACTAGTCCACGTCAATTTAGGTCTACCATTTCTCCTAACACTACCATCTACCATCAATATATTGCATTTCTTCACTTCTGTTTCTGTTGGTTTCCGTTGTATATGACCAAACCATCTCAGTCTATCCTCTCTCAACTTATCTTTTATCGGTACTACTCTTACCCATTCTCGAATATACTCATTCCTAACTTTGTCTTTCTAATCTTGCCACACATCCATCTTAGCATCCTCATCTTAGTAATACTCATCTTATCTACATATTGTTTCTTAGTTGCCCAACATTCCGTCTTATACAACATTACTGGTCTAATAGTCGTTCTATAGAACTTTCATTTTGGTCTAATGGGGTACTCGTTTACTGCATAGTACTCCAGATGCACTCATCTACTTAAGTCATTCTGCTTTAATTCTATGGACCACATCCGCTTCAATCTTCCCAATCGTTGTGATAATCAATCCTAAATAATAAAAATGTTCACTCTTAGGTAATTTTTGGTTCTCAATCTTTACTTATCCTCTACTTTTATTGTAACTGTTACTAAAATCACACTCCATATACTCTGTCTTATTTCTGCTTATTCTAAATCCTTTAGATTCAAGTTTTTTTTTTTCTTCTAAATCTCCAACTTAGTATTAACTCCTTATCTAATCTCATCTACTAACATGATATCATCTGCAAAAAGCATACACTATGTCACATCATTTTGAATATTGTGCAACTCATCCATAACTGAAGAGAAAATATAAGAACTTAAGGTTGATCATTGGTGTAACTCTACAATAATTAGAAATTCAATCGTCTCTCTAGCAGGCAATCTAATAGTGGTCATCACACTTTCATACATATCTCTAATCACATCAATGTAATATTTTGTCATCCCTTTCTTCTCTAACACCTACCAAATTATATCATGAAACACTCTATCATACAATGTTTAGAAACCCAACCTGGACCGACCGATCAAACCGGAAGAACCGATAATCGGGCCTTGTTCCGGTCCAAAAAACCCTCTAAATCCGGACAAGGAGCAAAACCGGTGTAAGATGAAGGAACCAGAAGAACCATTAAACCCGGCAATCCTGGCAACCCAGGATGGGTTTTGAGAACCAGCCAGTTCTGTTGAATATATATATATATTTATATATTCAAAAAATCCCAAATCTTAAGGCTAACAGCAGAAGGGTTTCGACTCATCTCTCTCTCTCTCTTCTTTTGGGTGTCGCCGGTTTCGACCTCTCTCAAGCTCTCACTTTCTCTATCAACTTAGCAGCCATAGAATTCCGGTGGAGTTGAACGGAGGACACAAATCCGGTGAGCAAAAATCTGTGATTTGATGAACTATTTTTTTTCAAATTGCTTATTGTAAGTCACTGATGGCATGTATATATATATATATATATAGGTATATTATTCCTATTCCTTGCTTACTGTAAGTCACTGATGATATATTATTCTTATTCCTCTGAACCTCTCATCTCATATATATATATATATTTGATTGTTGTATGTGCATGTTAAATTTGATTGTGATTTGATTTGCAATGATCCAATTACGACTCTATCAATCCAGTACCTTTAGACTTTTATTTGCTTTTGTTTCACCTTATTAATTTGGGCAAATTACATATACCCTCTCGAGATTTGCCTAAATTACAAATACCCCCTTGAGGTTTGAGAAATTACAAATTTCCCCCTGAATGCTATATTTGCATAACAAATTAGGGGGTAATTTGTTATGAAATTTAAACCTCAGGGGGCAAATTGTTATGAAAATACAAACCTCAGGGGGGGCAGAATGTAATTTCTAAAACCTCAGGGGTATCTGTAATTTAGTCAAACCTCAAGGGAGGTATATGTAATTTGCCCTATTAATTTTTCTTTGTTTTTTTGTTGAATTTAATTATTTTATTCATTATTATACTTATATATTTAATATATATATATATATATATATTTAATATATTTATGATGTAATTATGATGTCATGATTCAACCACTTCGATCCAGTGATTGAATCGGTGACCCATCCACCCAGTCCTTTTTCCGATTCGCTCATTGGTCTGATTTTCAAAATATTGCTATCATATGCTTTTTCAAGATTGATAAAAACCATACGAATATTTCTTTTCTTTTCTTTTCTTTTCTTTTTTCTATATTTTTCTATTACTCTCCACAAAAGGTAGATCATTTCCATTGTTGACCTATTAGGTATAAACTCAAATTGATTCTCTGACACCTTTGTTATATCTCACAATCGACGTTCTATCACTCTCTCACACATTTTCATTGTGTGACACATTAACTTGATTCCTCTATAGTTGTTGCAATTCTGGACATCTCTTTTATTCTTATATATTGGCATGAAAATACTCTTCCTCCACTCTTCTGGCATTTTCCTAGCCAACAAAATCTTACTAAATAACCTAGTCAACCAAACAACCTCCTCCTTACCTAAACATTTCCACGCTTCAATAGGAATATCATCGGGTTCTAAAGTCTTATTTGATTTCATCTTTTTAAGTGCAAACTCCACTTTAAAATTCATAATCATACAATAGAACCTATAGTCCTAGTTTTCCTTATTATTGCATACTTCATCTCCTTTTGACCTACCTCCATGTTCCTCATTTAACAACTTCTTAAAATAGTTCTTCTACATCTCCTTAATCTGTTCATCATTCACCAACACCTAAGAGTCCTCACCCTTAATGCACTTAACTTGATTAAAATCTCTTGTTTTCCTCTATCTTATTTTAGCAAGTTTGTATATCCTCTTCTCTCCCTCCTTACCATCTAGTCTAGCATATAGGTCATCATAGGCTTTCAACTTTGTCTCCCTCACTACTTTTTTGATATCCTTATTGACCAATCTGTAGCACTTAAAGTTTTCTGCAGTTCTATTATTCTGACACTTTTTAAAACTCTCTTTTTTCGTCTTTATTACCGCTTGGACCTCTTCCCTCCACCACCAAGTTTCCCTAAAGTTGGATCTCTTTGATTTCAACTCTCCAAGAACTTTCCTTGAGATTCTCCCCATACAATTGGTCACCAAGTTCCACATAGTGTTATTATCATCTTCCAAGTCCCAAGTACCTTCTTTATCTATTCTATTCTTAAATACGTTTAGTTTATCCCTTTTTAGGTCTCACCATTTAGTCCTGCGATGCCCACTATCTTTTCAAGTTTGGTATTGCTCTTTAAAATATACATCTAGTACCAAAATCCTATGTTGAGACATCAAACTCTCTCCAAGAATCACCTTACAGTCGCTACATTTTAGACGGTCCACTTTTCTTACTAGAAAGTACTCTATTTGGCTCCTAGTTGACCCACTCTTAAAAGGTATCAAATGCTTCTCTCTCTTCATATGCATAGTATTGGCCACCATTAGGTTAGAAACCAATGCAAAATCTAAAATACTCTCTCTAGCTTCATTTCTATCACCAAAATCATACCCACCATAAACCCTCTCATAACTTAGTTTATCTACTCCTACATAGCCATTGAAATCACTATCTATAATTAGGTTTTCTCCTATAGGTATCTCTTGTAATACCTCATTCATTTGGTCGAAAAAAACTCTCTTAGTCTGATCATTTAATCATACTTGAGAGGTATATGCACTAATAACGTTCACTATATTCTCTCCAATAACTAGTTTAACTAACATAATCCTATTACCTTTCTTAATTACTGCAACTGCATTTTCTACAAGATCCTTGACAATTATTATTCTTACCCCATTCCTGTATCTATCATTTCCACTATAATATAGCTTAAAACCGGTAGGTATCTTCTATTTCCTGAGCATTCTCACCCGTTCACTTAGTATTTTGTACGCAAGTTATATTAACTCTTCTCTTAATCATGACATCTACCAATTAATCTTACCAATTAAAGTTCCTATATTTCATGTGACTACCCTAAACCTATAAGATTGAACTAGCTTCTTTATCCGTGCTCGTCTAGAAAAACGCAAAAACTTTTATCTATTTTTTACCACACCTAGGCTTCTATGCGGCGCCACTTGCTCATTTTTCGATGAAGTTACTAGTTTTTTATGGACTCAATATAATCATGTACTGAATTCTCTCTAATTGGATGCTCAACTGGAGCGGAATTATTCAATCTCAATGGGTTCATCTTCGAGCCTATCTAAATGATCTACACCTTTCATCCTGTATGGTTCATAGTATCCATGCAAAAAATAAAATGATCCCAATAGGCCATATGATCGGATCACATTCGTCTTTTTAAAAAAATAATATATTCTCAAAATTATACCTTCTATTTTTTTGAAGACAAATGTAGTTTGATCATAGAGCTACCAATCAAAATGTTGATTTTATGTAGTACCAGATTTTATGTTTATACATGAAAGTCTAGACTATGAAAGCTTAAATTTACAGAAAGTTGAATTATTTGCATTTCTAGGTTAATTACAGCAAATCAGTCATGAGAGAGCAGATACAAGACCTACAGTGTATAATACAGCAAAGACAAGCACAATATATTTTTATCCAATGAAACTAGAAAACTGAAATTGAAAAATTACTCCACTGACATAACTGCCAAAAAAAAACCCGAATTGTTATGAAATCACTGTCATCAAGATGAAGTCCTCCATTGCAATTCTATCTGAACTCGGCCATTCTTAGAGTCAATGAGGTGGTATCTCTCGTTGATTCTTTTGTTGCTAACAACGTCCGAGAGGTTTATATCCACATAGCCCAGAGTTTCCTGACAAGGGAAACAGTATGTGTTTCAAAATGTTAGAAATTGTTTCTTAGGATACTCATTTTCCAATGCTGCAAAAACAAAACAAAACAAAACAAAAATAAATCTATAGTTATATTAACATGTAACAGAACGATTTGCAATTTTATATTGTTTCTACTGCCCTATAAAAATAACTTTCTACAAGTTTGTTGGATCGGTTAAGATTTGATTACTGATGTAAATATACCTTGGGATGGAGTAGACCCATCCTAGAAGAGGTACTGACAACTTCCACATGAATTCTGTCATTAGTTGGTGGTTCTTCCAGCATGAATTGAAACTCTTCTTCCCATCTTGGATCTCTGTTTTTCTTTATAGGCTGTAAAGACACAATCAGTCAATAGACATTAGTTAAAACCATGTTAAAATCTAATGCTTTAAAAGAATTTAGCAAAGCATCAAATGTGATCGTGACTTGTTACCAACAAAAGGATTTCTAACATTTTCAAATCACTAATCAGCATCAACTTATATTTCGGATAGTTTAACTGCTAATTCTGATGAACTTCGTAGTTTTTCCAAACTCAAATTTATCTTTTTCTTACATGAAATATATTAATTGACACATCAGAGGTACAGAAATGCAGGGCCGGCTCAATGAAAAGTGACCAAAGTGGTCATTTTAGGTCTCCGGTTTTTAAAAGGCCTCCAAGCTCTCTCTCTTTGTTCAAGGCCAAAAAATATACTTCTTTTCTAAAAGTCCAAAAAATATTCGTCGAACCAAAAACAAAATTGTCAGGGCCCCAATCATAACTAACTATGGAATACACATTTTTTGTCCAATGACCTATAACAAACCTCTTTGTCCAAAATATCTTCTTGTTTGAAGGTCCAATTGTAAAGGGGGGGAAAAAAATTTCTTGTCTCATCCTACAAAGGTCTCCATAGTAAAGGTTGTAGATGAACCCCTATACTTTTATTGACAAGAATAGAAAATCAGATTTTACAAAAAATTAAAATACGAAGAGTTTTTAAAAAAAATAATATTTAAATATAAAAAGGACTTTCTATTAAGATTTTGATTTAGGCCTGCTACTGGCAGAAAGAGAAATGATGTTTGCTAGCAGCAGAAATTCAAAGGTTGCTCATAGCTGTGGTCCATTTGATATTTAACTGTTAGTATCAACTATGAATTTATGCAACATATGATTTTCCATGAAACAATCTGGAACATTGCCTCTTATTGCTATTGCTAGGCATGCTCTTGTATTGACAAGCTACAACATACCTTAGTTCTTTTCTCCTCCCCTCTGAAAAGTAGACGCACTTGAGGATTTGTGTGGTGCTTCCCTTCTAGATCCTGAGCTTCATGGACAATTACTACAAGCAAACCTCCACCATCAGGAGTTCCTTCAGGAGCCTTTTCCACCACATTTGAATCTTCAGTTTCGTTGGGTATCTCATCGTCCTTAAAAGGTTTGTACATCAATTCAAGAACAATCTGTCCACGTGATTTTTCATTTTGAACATCATTCGGGTCCATGTTTTTTAGCAGACTAACAGTCATCTCTTTTGACTCCTCAGGTGTAAGTTCCTTCAATGGTATTACATTTAGGCCCATCTTATCGTGCTTCCCAACCTAAATGAAAAGAAATATTCAGTTTGAGAAACAATGAAGAAGAAGGAGGACAACATTTCTGTCGTGGTCAAAACGAGACCAGTCTAGGTCGACCAATCATATTCTGAGACTATGCCGTCTTTCATAGCCCACTTTTTCTTCTTCATTAGTAAAAAAATTTATTATTAGACAAATAACAGCCAAAGAGTATCTAGTTCCCATTCATCCACAAGCAGTGCCGGACCCAGAAATTGTGCAAAGGAGGGACCAAGGTAAAACTATAACATTTTCATAGGCCAAAGTAAAATTTATACAGAATTTTTTTTTTTTTTTTTTTTTTACGCCATTTGAAATGGCGTTTCTACTACCAACGGGGGTGGTTCCTTTATAAATACTCAAAATTACATAGGCTAATGAGGTTTTTGTGATTTTTGAGAGGACCAAAGTAAAATTATATAGATTTTGGGAGGGCCAAATACTAATTTCACTTATAAATACTTAAAAATACAAGGGGCTAATCAAGATTTTGTGAAATCTGAGTGGGTCATGGCCCTTGCCTGCCCCTCTCTGTGTCCTCCAACACAAGTTGAAGCAGAAAACAACAGAATAACTTGATATTTGATAATAAATCTGAAGAAAAAAAAAGTGCAAAATATACCTGCTCCCAGTCATATACATGGATCTCCAAAGCTTGAGATTCAGGGTCTTTAATGACCAAATTAAATTCTTCATTCCATTCCGGGTTCAATTTTTTGTGTTTCACAGTTGTTTTCTTCGACTGAAGTTTGTCCTCAGTAAGTTTCAGCTTCACATAAGGATCCGATGCCCCCAAAAGGTCTTTCTTTTTAAGCTTCATTGCTCTCACGACCTTCACGTTAAGAATCCCAACAGGTCTCTTCAAGGCTCTGCCGAATTATAAGAGTTAGTCGAAGCAAAGATTTATAATAGGGGGGTTTGAACACAATGTCCCAAGTGAAAACAAGATCACACATACACTTACTTTGTAGGATCCATAATTTGTACCTCAAGGGTTTTGGGCCAGAGATACATATTAGCAACCTGATCTTTGATAAGCTCCTGAATGAAAAAAAATACAATGAGTAGTGAAACCAAAATTAAAAACTACACCCAGTTTAGTCCCCAATATATGATTACTCTACAATGTTTACATTAGTATATCACAAGTTTCAGCCCAAAACCGTCCATCTAATATTTGCCTTACTCTTGTGGTCTTTAATCTGACAACCATTGTTGATAATAAGTTGTGTGATTTTACCCCATGAAAGATGCAACCATTTCTAGGGCTTAAATAGCCTCTGATCATTCAATTCACATTAGCTAAACCATCTTCTACCAAATTTTTTGTTGTGGTTGTTGCATGTTTTCAAAATTTATGCAATGAAGATGTGCCTAAGCACCCCCGCCCTCTGGATGAAGAATCAAATAAAAATCTGAAGATAAAGAGACATTGAAGTGAAGGGAACTCTATTAATTAATTTAGCATACCTGAACAAAACTATACAGGCCAGGAATGGACATAGCATCTGCACCTAGCACTTTCAAACCAAAGTCCACATGTGGCTGCAAATTGAGAGAGAGAGAGAGAGTCAAACTTTGCAAGAAGGTTAATCTTTTGGCTAGGATTGATGCCATCTCCATCATATAGTGGGCACCAAAGCTCTAAATGGTGCATACATAGGAATATACAATACACATCTGATGAGCATATGCAGTCCCCAAAACTCTAATGATAAACCAAAATATTCCTAATCAAACATATCGTTAATTAAAGTTACCTCTGGTCATTACCACGCACCTTCTCCATGAGAGAGACTAATATTGTGGCAAAACAAGGAAAGCTTGGAACCAATGGCTTCAAGGTAATGCGTGGAGAAGCAAATACTTGAAAATCAACCACCTGAAATACTCCAAAGGAATCTACAGTCACTAATGAGTACAAGCAAATAGCAAAATGCCCATCTCCTTTAAGCTAATGTTCACTCGTCCACTCACAGAGAGAGAGAGAGAGAGAGAGCACTTCACTAATGTCAGTTCTTCAAATACCAAGAAGGTTCAACAATTACCAAATTATTGAACACCAAGAAAAATTTCTTCTTTCAAACAAAAGACCAACAACCAAATACCTGAACAGTGGCTCTCAAACCAAATGCCTTAGCTGCAATATTGATGTTAGGATTTCCTGCCCACTTCATGAATGGTTCCATTATCAACTCTTTCTCCTCAGTTACATAGATTTTCATTCCTGGCATGAAAAAGTAAAAACATTTAGAAGTTGATTTGGAAAGAAGAGTGAAACTCATATTGTGATTGGAACATTGAGAGAGAGAACCTTGAAAAGTAGGAGGTAGGGAGCCCAAGGTAAGAGTTTCAAATCCAACTGACTGAATTTTGTATTTTGGAATTTGCTCAGCAATGATGGGCTCTGCTATATTTTTTGCAGTCTTGCAGATAGCCTACGGACCTTAAACCATCAATACACAACACAAAAACTTCAAAAGATTCTACAACACGTCCAACTAAACATACCTTGTCCAAATAAGGCCACATTGTTTCAATAAATTTGTTAAGCCAATCAACCTGTGCAAAAATAGAACCACAAGAATCTTATATAAATATGCACAGCAAGGAGGTATATACATAATTTTTAAGAATATTCTTATTTCAAATATGTAGTTGGAAAAATTATGGATTAGAAGGAAAAAAAATTATTGGGAGTAACAGCTTACACACGGCACCCTCTTAAAAAAAAAAAAGAACAGCTTACACGGTCAATGTCTGGATTTTTCACCCAAATAGGTATCTCTGGAAGCAAGCGTTGCAAAGTTTGAGAATCTTGCTCAACCAATGGACGAATAACTGGATCCTGAAAATTCCAATGAAAAGAAAATTTAATCATCAAAGGAAAAAAGTTTGACTGTATTAACAACTGCATGCAACACCTCAACTTTCTTTTAGCATCAATTCTACTTTTTTTACAAAGTCAGTGATATTGCGAGGGTTGGCATTAGAGAGACTGCAACAATTGCAAAAGATGAAAATGGAAAAAAAAAATATAAATAAAAGAAGAAAGGTACTAATATTGGTCAGTGGTCACAACTGAAAGTAGAATTCTCCAGTAAAATATTAGGGAGATACCTATTTGGTAGAATATTTTGAAGTACACAAATCATTTTCAAGAGTACAGTTATAGTGAGAAGTCAAATTAAATAAAATGCACTTGATTAGATAATTGAAACGCACAGAATCACAACAAAACATAACCAAACCAAATCAAACCAAGCCTTAAGTCCCATCAAATGGGGTCGACTACATGAATCCTTCTTCTCCATGCGGCTCTATCAAAGGTCATTTCATTAGTCAAATTAAGTAGATTCATATCTCTATTTATAACGCTAGTCAATGTTAATCTAGGCCTACCCCGTCCCCTAACACTTTCATCTACCGTTACAGCATCGCATCTCTTCACTACTACTTCTATTGGTCTCCGTTGAATATGACCAAACCATCTCAAACGATTCTCTCTCAACTTATCTTCTATCGGTGCTACTCCTACCCATTCCCGAATATACTCATTCCTAATCTTGTCCTGTCTAGTCTTACCACACATCCACCTTAACATCCTCATCTCAGCCACACTCATCTTATCTACATGTTGTTTCTTGGTTGCCTAACCCTCCGTCCTATACAACATAGCTGGTCTAATAGCCGTTCTATAAAACTTACCTTTTAGTCTACTGGGTATTCGTTTATCGCACAATACCCCAGACGCACTTCTCCACTTACACCATCCCGCCTTAATCCTATGGGCCACATCTGCATCAATCTCTCCCGCTGTTGTAATAATCAACCCTAAATAACGAAAATATTCACTCTTAGGCAGTTCTTAGTTCTCAATCTTCACTTCTTCTCTGCTTTCATTGTTACTGTTACTAATTTACACTCCATGTACTCTGTGGAATTAAAGAACCCTGTATCCTTTTTTTCTTTTTTGATTGCGATATATATTTATTTATTTGGGGCAGATATATAGGAAGGACAATTGGGGACAATTATAATCTTACATTGTGATCGAGAAACAAAAAAGCATTGGCAAAGCTTGAGACACGAAATAATGCACTCTTGTGAAATATTCGTGTTTGGATCGTTAAAAGCTCATTAAAAAGTGACTTATTATGTAAACAAGTCAAGCTTAAAAGTTTTTTAAGTCAAACACCAACAACTAACTACTTGGCTCGTTTACAACCCTAAATATATGCCATACAACTTCCCAATCCACTGAGCATTAAATTCTCCAGAGAATGCCAATTCTCTCCAATGAAATACCCTAAATCTGTGCAAGTCAATCAGCATAAGATGGTAATCCTTATAGATAGTTCATGGGTACTATACGATAATACCTAACATAAGCTTAGAATTTGTTTGGCAGTTTCATTGGTTTACAGAGTGATATTACAGACAAATGATTAAATCAGAAAACACCCAGACCACTACACAGATGAATTATATAAGAATTAATGAAGAAAAAAGACAAATCAAACGCTGAAGAAAAACAATTAGAACCAAAAATCAAAATGCCTGAAGTGTGAAGATAAAGAAATAGAGACACTGACCTTGACATCACTTGGTTGGAAATAGATAAACAGATAATACCCAATCACGATCCCAATTGTGATTCCCACTCCAAATCCAAAGAAACCCATTATAGTACTCAAAAAACCCATCTCTAATCTTCTTTCAGATCACCACAACACAACACAACACAACTCTCCACTCCAGTTCCTCCTCAAGAATTCAATGACAAACCCTTAAATTTTGTCGCTTAACAAACATAACCCAAGAACTGATAAGAAAACAAATCACAAGTCATTTGATGTAAATGTATTCCCAAGAGATCAACATTCTTGGGTATGTGAATTGAGAAACAATGGAAAAAGAAAACAAGAAAAATCAAAACAGAAAAAGAATAAGAAGAAGAAGAAGCAAGTGTGTTTCTTGTGACAAGAGATAGGTACAAAAAACAGATGTATGAGGTTGATTATCCCAGGAAAAAGCAATAAAAGAAGCATTTATTGCTGACCAATCTTGAAATTCAACGACCCATCAGATCCACATATACCCCAAAGTAAAGTCCCACAGCAACGGTTTCCAACAACGGTTTCCAAAAGGGGAAAAAAAAAAACGAAAATTCAAGTACATTTATATAAGATATTTAATTATTTATTTAATAAAAAATTTAGGAGTTATGTTTGGTTTGCATTTAGGGGATGAGTTTTAGAAAAAAAATTTCTAAAAAATTGTTTGGTTTGAGTTTTTCTCAAAAAAATTTCAAAATTATTTTCTCTCCTCTCTCCTTCTCAATCACTTTTTCTCTCACACACATCTACTCAAATTCTCTCAAAATATCAAATCATCCCAAACTCCCAAAAAAACAACTTCCAAAAATATACAACCAAATAAACTAAAAAAATTTCTAAACTCTCCCCCCAAAATTTTTTCAAAAACAATTCTCCCTAAAACAAACAAAACAACCCAGAATTTTTCCGTCAAATGAGTGTGCGTCTCTTGATAACTTCTCTCATTGCCTTTTGTGGTCAAGGATAAACTAGTCTAAATTCCAACTCTAATAATATAATTAATCAACGACCAAGATTAAACCTCACGTATCCAATGATTATTAGAAAGGGTACACATGTAAAAAATGTTAGATATTTCAAAAAATTTACTAAAATTTCTATCAAATATCTCACATAAATGTGGGACTCACATGATGTGAGTTTCACACCCATATAAGACATTTGATAGAACTTTTGAGGCCTCTAACATTACTCTGCAGCAGCCTTAAAAGAGTAGGGAGAGGCTCCATCCAATACACACAGTAGACTAAAGCATACTGTTCGGTTCTTGGGACTCATCATGGGTCCCATTTCGATAATTCGAACCGTTCGATGTGCAGAATTCATCGAGTAGTTCATGTCTGCAAAAAATCATCGGATATCGTTAGTCTCTTAATAGGAACACATTTTTGTTAATAATTTATTTTTAAAATCATATTTCCCATTAATAAAAATATGTTTTGATCAAAAAGTTACCAATATCCAATCAACGTGATTTTTACGAAAATAAAATAATCGACGAGCTCTACATATTGACTAGTTCGAATTATCAAAACAAGACCTATGATAAATCTCTCGAGCTCAACAATACACTCCAATCCACTATTGAAGAGAAGTCTCCCCAAAAGATTATACTGTAAAGTTTCTCACTAATTATAATCATAATTATTATCCATTAAAAATCCAAATGGGTCCTTCATTTAATGATTAATTAATAATATAAATGTTAAATGTGGTAGGACTTTTACTATTTTAATAATTTTTTGGGTAGTTTCTTTCCCGTTGCCTCTATCAAACTTTCCTCCTCCCTTTTATTATATTTAGGGTTTGAATTCATCCATACATTCTATCTGAGAGATTTTCCAGGTCTGCTGCTGAGAGTTGGTCGTAAAAGTCATCTCCATCCCCCATGGGTGGTTCACCGTGCCATTCTTGGTTATTTTCTCCCATTACTAGTGTCTCATGAGAGACGCTATGCTGATAGTTGGGATACTGACTTTCATCGACGAATGTCTCTTTGCTGAAAGGATATACTGGGATAGCTAAATTACAAAATATCTTTTGATTTCTATCTTCACAGACTAGACGTCCATAATTTCCATTATATGCTAATAGAGGATTGTTAGCAAATTTCCTTCATTTATTGAGCTGATCTCTGAGTGAAAATCTTCTGCATGGCCAGGGTCTCCTATTGAGAAGTCTTGGGCATCCTGGGAAAGTTGAGGTTCCTCTAAGGTACATTTTATGCTTGGTTGGATTGCACCATATTCCTTTCCACTCTGGTAGTCTGCTATCTATTAATGTTTCTTCATACAGATGATGCTCCTCCATTACACAAAGTATGGCATGAGCAAGTTTATTCCCACAGCTATCTGTCTTATCTGGATCTGAGAAAATTATTTTGGAGACAAAGCTGTAATCTAACAATTGTGAGGCTGTTAGATAACACGTTTTGCCCCTAATCTCTATCTCCAATGGCTTGAATGTTGCTAGATTTATCTGGCAAAGGCAGATGCTGAAATCTAAATTACACTGACATCAGCCAAAATGTTCTGACCTCTTATTGCATTTTTCTTCTTCTAAGCAGGGCTGCTCTTCATATTCATAGGTATAGATCCATTGATAAGCTATGCCAGGGCATTCAACTCCTGCTATGGAGAGGTCTTGAAGAAACTGTTGTATGGTGACTAGCTCACTATTTCTACTATCTTCGGCTAAGGTGTATATATAGGGCTTTAGGTCCTCTATTACTTGGCTTTTCTCACAAAAAGATCGAATGATAGAATGTCTGAAGAAATACATTCTAGCACTCAATTGTTCAAATTCCTCACTGGTGAGTTGTCTGATTTCTTGGTCAGGAAAGGGGGCAGTTGTTTTTCCTGGAGCTAATTTTTTAAGCTGGATGGTTAGGGTTCGAATGGTGGCTCTCAGTTGTTTTTCTTCGTCTCGGAGCTGGTTTAGCTCTTCACTGACCTTTTTGCCTTTATCCATAATTTTCTTGAAATTTCTGGTAAGCCTTCACAATGTCGGCACATCTAGAGAGGATTTTGGGAATCTATTTTAGGGTTAGAACTACTACTTCCAGTACTACTGCTTCCAATTATATGGCTAACTGAAACTCCACTAGTAGCAAGAATGGTTAACCTCATCTTGCTCAATGTGTCCAAGTAATCTTTAGCTATTTGACTGATAAAGTAACTGGTTCCTATTTGTCTATAGGTACTGGCTGACTCAAAATCATAAAAAACCTTTATACTGTGGTATGGAAAAAAAAATTTAACTAAGGATTCAACTTTTATCCAGTCATGGTAAATACCAGGCTTGGTTCCTTTAGCTACTACATAGAAAGAAAAACTTTTAGACAAAGGCTTATTTTGGATTTTTGAAAAATATATACTAAGACAGTTTAGGGCTGACAGACGTTTAGCTGGGTGGCTATGACTGTTCCAAATGTTATCTAAAAGACATTGTTGAACCGAGTCTAGCTCAATTCCTGTTAATGGTCTGAACTTGTTTCTGCCTTCATGAATGGGAAGAGAAAATCGCCCAAAATTCATGGTTTTGCTGTTCTCCATTATCTGCACAAAAATTAAATTGGTTATTTTCTTTTTCTAGATAAATTTTCCTACTTAACCAATCTGTTAACCTATTATTACTCCCTTTAATATGTTCAAATTCTACTTTATATCCTTGTCCTACTATACAATTTAAAAATTTTGCCCATCTTCTAGTACTTAATTTGCGGTCGGTAAGTTTATTATGAAATCTAACTATAGCTTCACAGTCTGTTATAATTGTAAACGGTTTATGCAAAAATAATCTAAATTTGTTTATTGCATATACTACTCCTAATATTTCAAAATCTAGGCTGATCATGGTCGTATCTTTTTCTTTAAATTTTTCAGAACTGTATCTACAAATGCGCTCTTTATTTTTACTATCATATTTACTAGGTTTAGCTAATAATATTGCTCCCCATCCTAATTGACTTACATCTGTTTCTATAACTATATATTCTGACTCTAAGGGAAATTGTAGGTCTGGTAAATTTCTACAAATGTCTTTAATTTTTCTAACTAGGGTTATATCTTGTTGATTGAAATATTTTTGTCATGTGGGTGTGGTCTTACTATATAGAGGTCATACTATTTTACTAAGGTTAGGAATATACATTCGTGCATAATTTAAAATTTCTAAAAATGATTTAAGCTGCTTTGTATCTTTTAAAATTTTCTTAACTATGTGAGGTTGTAACCTAATTTTTCCATCTCCTAACTCCATTCCTAAAAATTCTATATGAAGCTTATTTAATACCATCTTTTTCTTGCTAATTATTATTCCGTTATTTATGAATTCTTCTAGTGTTATATATAAATGATCTATATGACTATTTTTATCTGGACTGAATACTAATATGTCATCTATGTATACCAACATAAAACTATATTTATTAAATATACTATTCATCTTACGCTGAAATATAGAAGGTGTATTTTTTAGTCCAAAAGGCATGACTAGCCATTCGTAATGTCCCTGTGGGCAACAAAAGGTTGTCCAAGGTATGTTTTCCTTTTCCATTTTTATCAGTCAAAATCCCAACTTGCAATCAAATTTACTAAATATTTTTGCTGCATGTATTCTGTTTATGAGCTGACCTTTATCTGGTATGTTGTATTTATCATCTTTTGTGCTATCATTTAATCTTTTATAATTTATAACCATTCTAGCTTTTTCTCTTTTTATCTCTGCATGATTTCTAACCATAAATGCGGCGCTCCTATGCGGACTATTACTAGGTCTAATTACTCCTAAATCTAGTAATTCCTTAATCTGTGTTCTAAATTCTTCTATATCTGCTGGCGTATGGTCTATTTGTGCTGAGGTAATCCTATAATCTTTATTTTTTATATCTAAACTGGCTAAAACTTTATTTCTTTCCCAATACTTCATGGGCTGTTCTCCTAAAATCTCTGTTGTTTCAGCTAATCTTATTATCTCATCTAAATCATTTTATGTTCTTCTGTATATTGATTTTTTCTTTAATTTTTCTATTTTTGCAAAAATTAATTCTAAGTTAACTGTTTGTTGAAAATCTTCTAGGTTCCAATAGTCTCCCTTATCTTCAAAATCAAACTTTCCTAAACCTTCTAATTCATAATTTTCTATGTCTAAATTTTCTAAAGAAGTGTTTATTATCTCATCAGGAATATACTTTTGGGCTAGCTCGGGAAAAATATTTCTACTAGGAAATAAAAAACTAGCGAGAACTGAATCTACTCCTATGGTACCACCACGCTTCGCACGCAATTCTGATGAATGGGCTATGGTGCTAAGGGAATATGTTGTGGGTGTATGTACAGTTCGCTCGAAGAAACTATTGTTGTGTTGGCTGATAAACATGCCACCTTGTAGGCTAAGTATGAAGTTAAGTCCTAAGATAAAAGGATGATTTTGTCGTGTATTCCCAATTCAAACTTGAGGTAATGGGAACCATTCTTTATGTTGATCTTGAGAACCTAGATGATGAAAACTAATCTATGCGCCGTTAATGCAATGTGTATATGTCTGTTTATTACCATCAGCTATACTGACTAAAGTTGGGGTTGTTAAAGCTGTGCTCCATCCTGGTGGAACTACGTGTTGTTCAATATATTATTTACTGGCTCTGGTATCTATCATGGCATCTATACTAAGGGTTTTTTCTACAAATTTAATGACACAAGCGATTTCAACTAAGTTTGGTTGGGGTATAACAGGGTAATTAAATGGTAAATATGTATTATCTGACTTTGCTTGAGAGTATTGACTAAAGGGTTGAGAATCAACTAGGTTGACCAATTCTAAAGAATTCATATGTTCTTCCACAAGTTTGTCTTTTAAAGGGTACTTATTGTGAAATTGTTCTAGCTGTTGTTTAAGCTGTCTATTTTCTAGTTCTAGATATTCTATGTCAAAACTAGTTTTAGTTTCTATCTCATGTATTTGAAGTTTAAGTTCTCTTACTTGTACTTCTAATTCTCTAATTGTTAGATGTAATTCTCTGCCTTCTATACTATGATCCTCTCTGTTATTTTCTAATGTTATCTTATGTGTCATGTTTAATTTTTTGAGACAGACTATACAATAGGTTATGCTGCATAATAAACACTGAGCTCTCTTATTTTTAGCTGGAAACCAATTACAATAGATGCATCTAGTGGTATTAAATCCTAGTCCTATTTGAAAATTATGCTGACATTCAGTATCTGCATTGCATTCCATCATAAAGAAAATATCATGAGAAGGAGTTGTTCCTATTTCTTGGTTGAGTTGTCCTAAAAGATTATCTATATCTGTATCACTTTCTGAATTACTATCTGAACTTATGGCTTCTATTTGATATTCATAATCACTGACTATGCTATAGACTTCTGAATCATCACTATTTATGCTAACTATATCTTCTTCTAAGTCTTCTATAATATGTAGTCTTTCTATCTGTTTATTAGTATTGGGCTTTTGTCTTTTTGGGCAGTTTTTTGCAAAATAATTGGGTTCTCCACATATAAAACAATAACATTTTTTACTGTTGGGTTTTCTAACATATCTTCGTTTTCTTTTATCTTTTTCTTCATTGGGTAGTCGTTTATAATTTGTCCTATTAAAAGTTCTACTCTTTCTGATGAATTTCTATTTTTTCCATGGTTTTCTATATTTTTTCTTCCAATATTTTTCTTTTCTATATTTTTCATATTTTTTGTATTTTTTCTTATTATACTTATCTTCGTATTACTTAGGGGTATATATTATGCTACTACAAAAACCAAAATTTTATTTTTTCAAATCTTTCTGTATTTTTACTTCTATACATTTTTCATTAAGTCTATGAAAGGTAAAAACTATCCTAGGTCCTATTCCTAAGGTTCCTTTTATTTTTACTTCTCTTGAGACTATTTGGGCTGGTAAGTTTGCATAATGAATTGACCATTTATTTTCTATTTCTCTTCCTAGTTCTCCGGGTAATTTTCTAAAATATTTATTTCCTATTTCTTCATTAAAACTTTTTCTAGTTCTGGCTGCTATGGCTAAATATTCTTTGCTAAAGGGTACAACATATTTCCAACTTCCTAATGTCATTTGATCTAATTCAGTTAATGTTATGCTTTGGGTGTAAGTATTTCGTCTGGAAGGGTCATATCCTATAAGTATTTCTTTTATAAAGCTGGTGAAATTCCAAGAGTTATCTCCTAGTCCTTTAAGTTGTCTAATTATCTCCTCATATTTTCCTTTAAATGTTAAGTAAATATTAAAAGCCGAATCTCCTAAAAGTGTCTCCATATATTCCCACATATCAGTTGTTTCATAGGGATTACTTATCCATGCCTTTACCATATCTTTTTCTCATATTTCTATTACTTCTTGCCATATCTGATGGTCGAATCTAACTAAGTCTAAAAAGGTTCCTTGGTTATTGGCTTGCTGTAATTGTATACTCATATCTGGTTGTTTACGCTTTCTATGAAATCTATAACTTTTATTCAGGTCTGCATTACTACGTCCTGAACTTGCTAATGGCTTTCTTCCTCCTACTGCATACTGTATTGGTTCTACAGGATCTTTTACAGTTGGTTGTGGATTATTAATTCCTGAGCTGTCTGTGTTCATGTAAAAAGTTCTTCTAAGTTGGATTGTTTTGGTATTTTAAATATTTTGCTAGGATGTATTTTATCTTCTATGATATCATCTACATATTCAGTATGAAATTCTTGGTCTAAAAATGACACTGCTTTATCATGGGTATCTCCTCTAGCTAAATATTCATAATATCTGGTGTCTAGTATCTTATTCACATCAGTTAGGGTGAAATTTTCTAAATCTATCTCGTCAATATTATATATTTTATTTTGTGATATTATTTTTTCCTCTGTCATTACATAAAGCTGATTTATGTCACTACGATTATCTTGATTTTCTTCTCTATCTATACTACTAAATTCATCATCTTTGGATTTTTCTGGTGCTACATACGTATATTGAGTGAATCTTACTGCATAATTTCCACCTGCTGTTTGATATAATAAATTATCTTGAGGGGCTAATCTCTTTTGTCCTAGAAAATCTCCTAGTTTCCAATCTAATGCTGCATTATCTTCAGAACTAAATTTTTTAGCTGGTAGTGCCTTTATTCCTTTTGCGCCTAATAACTTAACTATCTGATCGTTTGTAAGTCTACAGTGAGTATTGCTTTCTAAGACTGCTATGCCTAAAAATTCTGTGCAAACTAATAAATTCTTTTCTCCTTTTTTCATTTTATATCCCCTGCTCTTTATTCCTATTTTTATCTTCTTATGAAAGGTCGAGGTTGGTAATAGGAAATCTGGTGTAAAATAAACTATTCCTTCTTTTGAATTCATATCTACATCATTAAACCTATCATCATAAAGACATACGAAAACTTTAGTTCCTAAATTTTCTTTAGTTGAAGCTTTAATCCCTACCACAACTAATCCTAAATGAGTCATTTTAAGGTATTCATTTGCTACATATTTATAGCTTTCTCTGTCTATTAAATTTATCTCTATTTTTTCATCTTCCTGGGTTACACTAATCATTTGTTCACCGTAGTGTTTAAATAGATATTGTTTTTTATGAACCTTACCTAGCTTATATACATATTTAGCTAGAATTAATTCTAACTTTTCTTTCTTAAATTTTTCTATTTGTTGTTCTACATCTATAAATTCTTCCATTTTAATATCTTCATCTTCATTACGCTTTTTGCTACTACTTCCTTTTATTAGCTGTTTAAACATCTTTATTTTCTGTAAGTTCTACAAATAGGTTTCTTTGGTAATTTAAGCTTTTCGAAATATCTAGATATATCTTCTTCGTTTACCTGAGATTGGGGTTTGTTTGTTTGTCCTTCTACTCCTTTTCCTTTTTGAAGTATTATTCTTTCTATTTAAAGAAGCTAAACGATTTTCTAAACTGTGCAGTTGTTCTAATAATTCTTCAAATTTTTCACACAATCTGATTAGAAATAAAATTTCTATATTATTTTGTCTTACAGATATTTTATCTGATTGATTTATTCCTTGATAGCTACTAATTCCTTCTGGGTTATTATGAAAATCTTCTACCTGTTTTAGAATAGTCTAGTAATTTTTATTAACTTTTTTTATCACTACTTATAAACTAAGATCTTATTAGTTGTTCTAAAATCTCTAATTTCTATTTTAAATTATTTTGAATTTAGTTGATTTGTTCTATTTGTTTAGCTATTTGATTTATTTGGCTATGAGTTTGTTCAATTAGTTGTTTAAATTCTAACTCTATTTGTTTTGAGCTATTAGTATTTATAGCTGAAATTAAAGTTTCTATTTCTAGCTTAGTGGGAAATTTTTCTAAATTTAAATCTGTTCGTTTTTGTAAAATTGAACTACACTGGTCTTGGATATAATCTAATTTTTTATCTTGATCTTTAATTATACTACGATTATTACGAAGATGACCTATGGATGAAACAAAAAGATTACTAATTTTATCTATGTCCTTTTTAATATTTTCTGCAAAATTAATCTGATACTATTTAGCTGTGGATTATGTTTACTATGGAGCTGATGTGTAAAAGTATCTTCAAAATTACAGCGAAATTTATTTTTATCGATGCTAAGACGATGATTATAATTGTTGAGTTCTAAATCTAAATATTTTACTTTTTTCATACACAAAATTAACTCCTACTTTAAAATTATTACAAGCTACTATAACATGAAATTTATAACTAAAATGTCCAAAAATAAAAACTACTCTATTACCATAAGCAAAATGCATAAACTAACTTAAATTGTCCTAAAACTGAACACTGCTCTGATAGCAATTTTTTGGGGGAGATGAGTTAGTGGTCTACCACTATTTTGAAATTGGGTTGAGAATTATCTAATTAATTGTACAGTTATGCTAATAAGCCTTCAAGCTGTTGTATGGCTAGCTGTAGGGCTTCTTGTCTTACAGATATTTATCTATTTACTTGAGAAACTTTTAAACTGTAATTTTCTAGGGACCTGCCAAAAGCTAATGATAAGTGATATCTTAATTTTTGATCTTCTAATTCTTGTATAAGTTCAGTACAATTTTGATTTTTTAAATTCTTTTATGAACAATATTTCCTTAATATTTCTACTCAGGTTACTCTTCTTGTATTCTAAAATTCTTTTCTATGGCAAAACTATTTTTAGGCAATGTTTGTTTTCATTACATGTATTCCCACCTTGAAGCCAAGCTTCGTTCAACATAGTATATTTTTATTTTCTATTTTTTACATTTCCCCTTCTGCCTACAATTTGCCCTCAAATGCCTAACCACAGCTCTCACGGGCTCTTTAGCTAAGGTCACTCATTAATAAAATGGAAAACAACAGATACTACGAAGGTGCAAAGCATGTAATATTAATGAGCAAACAAGCATTCTATAAACTTAGTTTTTCCAAAAAGAAAATAAATTTTTAGAATAGAAGAGTTACCCTTTTGAAATATTTAAGGAAAAAGATAGACTACTCACACTTCATATTAATAA